CAAATTTGGAAGAATGCTTTCAGAATTGACTTAATATGAAACATGTCCTAGCACTCTCATTTTGATCACTTCAACGCTTATCTAGTCACCTCTCTTTCTCATAATGTAGCAAACTCTCAAAACTGCAATACTAAAGCTAATAATGCCCACAATGCATTATAGATTTATCGAACTTCAAGAAACTTTTATATTAGGTTTACTAATGTATGGTAATTCATTTTTCTTCAAAGTATTTTCACTAGTTATAACATTATCACTCAACGATGCGTTGAAAAACATTGCTCTTCCGTGCCCTAGGCGAACTTTTTTTTCATGCTCTTGATCTGCGCAGACTTCAAGATTTGCGATAGCACATCATTTTCTTGCTCAAGACAAACGCTTGATTATTTGCATGAGTCACAATCACAAGAAACTCATGTGCTCAATCCAAGAAAATACAATTATGAATTTTTATTAAAAGTTGAGTTATTTTGAACGTAAAATTGGAAAAAAAAGTAAAAAAGCTCATTAATAATAGAAACGCTTGAGTAAGAATTCAAACGCATGGACAAGAGTTTCAAGCGCATGAGCAAGAATATTAAGTGATAGAACGCGAAGTTCAAGAACTTGAGTTCACCGAGAGATCTCAAGTCTTACCTCAAGATTTGTTCATAGCGCATGACTTTCTCGATCAAGATTCTCAAGTATCTCCCGCACAGACCAAAAGAAGTTCGTCGAGGGTGTAATTTAGAGTCATTTCTACATTATTTCTAGTGATGTATGTCAATGCATAGATTTTCAATGCATTATCTATCATTACTTAGGGTATACCAAAAGTTCTGATCACAGTTTTTAAAATTTAATAAAGCAATAAATATTGAATATTTTACTAAGGCAATATATAGTATAACGTCTCGTCTTTAATAATATATAGAGCAACTCTCTCTTAGACTTAGTTCTAACATCCTTTCAGACTAAATCTATAGTATTTATAGCCAAGAAAAGATCATGCCAACATAAAACCACAATACAGAAACGAAGAGACATTCGTTATTTTATTTTATTAAATGCTCAAAATAATCACCATTATTTTTGATACAAAGTTTCATTCTTTCTAACAGTTTATCGAAAGTCTTTTTAAACTCGTTTATTGGAATATTCTTCACTATGGTGGAAACCTCTTGAGCTAATGATTCTTCGTTTGTGTGATCCGTCAACTTGTTCTTGATATAATCATTTAGCCAAAAGTCACACGGTGCGAGATCTGGTGAATATGGTGGATGTGGAATGATTTCGATTCCTTCCTCCATTAAATAATCAATAACATCTGGATGAGTATGAGGAGGACCATTATCATGAAGCATTTTATATGTAGTACGTGATGACTTTTCCTTTTTTCTTATTTCATTGATAACAGGTATAAGACAATTATCAATATAGTAGTCATGATCGATTGTCTTGCCCTTATCTACTTTGTGTATGAGAAGAGAACCAGTGGATTTGAAGAAGAAGCAAAATAGTGTTCTAGGTTCAAATCTATTCCGACGAACAATGGTTCTTGGTAGTTCATTTTCGCCAACCCAAGTAGCATTGCTTGACTTTCGACCAATCTGCCTGTGATAAATCCATGTCTCATCACCAGTAATAACATCACATAAATGCCATGTTCCATTTCTAAATTTCTCTAAATTTTGACGACAAATTCTAAGTCGTTTTTGTTTTTGTTCGTCAGTAAGTTGATGAGCAACCCAACGTGATGTAACTTTTCTCATCTTTAGACGATCATGAATAATTCGTTCTATTGTACCACGTGATAGATCAGTCTCACCCATAATATCATCATAAGTTGAGTGTGGATCATCTTCGATAACTTGTCGAACGCGTTCAACATTTTCATCTGTAAGTACCGAAATCGGACGACCAGATCGAGGATCATCAGTGACATCGTCTCTTCCTTCACGAAAACGTTTCGCCCATCTTCTGACTGTTGGATATGATGGAGCATCAGGTCCCAATGCCTCTGTAAGTTCGTCAAAGATTGTTTTTGAATCTATTCCCAAAATAGCTCGAATTTTGATATAATATCGATTGAATTCATCAGTCATGTTTAATGTCTTCTTTTAAGATTGAAATCAAATTCTATTACGATTTTAGGTCGAGTACGGTACAAATGAACTAACAGCGAACGACCTCTCATTTATATATACTATCGAAATGTAATATTCTAGAACATGACGTCATAAAACGTGACGAGAGAGTGACCAATAGAAAGTTTCAGAATGTACCTGACCATTGAACAAGAATTAATAATATTTGCATTGTCTATAAAATTATAGATTTAGTCTGAAAGGATGTTAGAACTAAGTCTAAGAGAGAGTTGCTCTATATATTATTAAAGACGAGACGTTATACTATATATTGCCTTAGTAAAATATTCAATATTTATTGCTTTATTAAATTTTAAAAACTGTGATCAGAACTTTTGGTATACCCTAAGCATAAAATGTTTATGAAAAATGCATTGAAATGCATTGAACTCTTAATGCGTTATCCAAAGTTTCAACATTATTTAAAA